TAGTTTAGTCAAGACTACATTCCCAAATATCTTGAAAAAGAAAGTCACTTTGAGACCATGTTTTACCATTGTTTAAACATTGCTTCCTTCCTGTGGAGTCTGGTCAAGTTATTCTATGCTGTATTTAAAAAAAAACAAAACCAAACCAAAACTTGATTGATCATAAAAGCCTTTCTGGCTTCCCCATTGAAGGCAGCAGTTGGACTTTTAGTTCTGCAACTAGTATCAGTTTTGTGAACCATTTTCTAATGTATCCTTTATGAACAGGAGTTGATAATGTTTTTATCCCTGGCTCTCCCACAGTTTGCATGGTTGGCTGTTAAAAACACCACTGAAAGTATGCTTTGGCTCCGTGGATGGCTAAAGCTTCTCCTGCAGTAAATTAACAAATATTTTGTCTCTGTACTCTGTTTGTGCTTTCAAGCATTCTTTATTATTTCTTTTAGTAAACTTTACGTTAATAGTGAATTGTCTCCTCTAGTTGTTTGGAAACAACTTTATTTTACTGAATTAATTGAGAATAGTGAGTAATTCTCTTGAAAATTTGCTTAGCTTGGAGCTGAACTAGGAGCCCGGGCTATCAGCCACCTGGAAGAAGTTAGTGATGAAGGTATCACAGCCATGGCAAGAGCTAAGTGTGCTGCTGTCCTTTTACCAACAACTGCCTACATGCTAAGGTAAGGCCACTAGATAGAAGGAAATCTTTCATAGCAGCAAACCCATATTTGTGGGTTTAGGGTCTTTTCATGCAAAAGCATAAGCATGTATCCATGCCTTTGGGATCAGTCTGGATCAGTGAAGACAATCACAAGCACATAGACCTGAATGAGCCTCCTTATGTCTTATTTCTGGTGGAAATCCTCAAAAATCTGTGAGACTTCTGAGAAGTCTCACAATAGATTTGGAATGGCTCTACAGTGATTATGACTAAAACTTCCTAGTGAGCGTATTTCATAGTGTCCACCCTTGAAAACACTTACCCAGACTGATTGAGTGGCCAAACAATTTTGAAATGTTTATTCCTGATATTGAGGATATTGAAAAGATCTTTTGCATTATAATTGCTAAGTGAGAAGATCCTCTAATGTATGCAGATTAAAGTCACAGACTAAATAATCAGGAAGGGACTATTGCATTGCATGTGCCACTGCTCATATTTGGGAGCCTGTCTTTGAAGATGTAAGGACTAGAAAATTAGGTTTTTTTGAGAAATGGAGATTTTCACCTTGTAAACTCTGGCTGAGGTCTGGATAAACACCAGAATTTCAGTGTCCTGGAGCCTGATGGTTGATACTGACTGCTGTCACATGCTGTTACTGCAAAAGCAGTGGATCACACTTCCCATTTAGGTTGTACATGGGGGGATAGGTAGGGATGCAAGAGGACAATTTGGGCTTTCATCTCCAAAACCAAATGCATGAAGGTAGCTAAAGTGAGTGATGACTTTTGGTTTTGTAAACCATTGTATAATAACTAACCAAATCGTACTGACAAGTGTCTTTTTCCTGCTAGACTGAAGCAACCTCAAGCTCGAAAAATGTTGGAAGAAGGAGTTATAGTTGCTCTTGGCAGCGATTTTAATCCTAATGCATACTGTTTTTCAATGGTAAGCCACTTCTAATACTTATGACACTGAAAAATTATGAAATTCTTACTAGTACAACTTGTGTATAGACCTTGGATGCTATTAATGGTCTTCGTATTCATGAAGAGACTGTATGCCCCACATAGGCAGCTGCTCATGCTTGTTTGTGTGTGTTGGCAGTTTTAGCCAGAAATTCTTGAAAATGGAAGGGGTTCCATTCTTTATATGCACTGAGAGGCTTATAAAACAAGCTCTTGAATTCCTGATTTTAGAGTTCTCATTTTGGAGTTGGTAAGATTTACCTTACGTGGAACAACTCCCTCTGTTGTGCAAGGAAGAAGGAGAGTGCTTAGGGATTTGAAGCATAAACAGCTTTGTGTTGCTGGTAACTCCCATTTTCCCCTTACTTGTCTACTAGCCTATGGTGATGCATCTGGCCTGTGTAAACATGAAGATGTCAATGAATGAAGCATTGGCAGCTGCCACCATTAATGCAGCTTATGCTCTGGGGAAATCGGACACACATGGCTCCTTAGAGATCGGCAAGCAGGGGGATCTTGTTATCATAAATTCATCAAGGTTTGTTCTTCCATTGCCATTTCAAATGTGCTTTAACATTTGGGACTTTGTTTTTTACCACGTTTGGAGAGCAGAGAAATTACCTATGCATTAAAAAAGGGACACTGCTAGCATTTCAGACCCATTTTCATTCTCCTTACTCATTCAGTGGAAAATAGAGCCTAAGATTTTGGGACTGTTATTACAAATAATCAATGCCTAATAACAAATTATCTATTAATGCCTGTTTATTTTGTGTAAGAAATTCCCCACTGATCTGTATATCAACTCACTGCACTCATGCAGCAAGAGTCAACATGTACACATGGAATAGTATTTTCCCATTTTCAAGCAAATATTTTAAAATTTCCGGGTATAATGGGTATGTGACCTGTTTGGGTATGTGACCTGTTTTTATGCAAGTTTGTATATTCTTAAACATTGTGTCTTTTTAGGTGGGAGCACTTGATTTACCAGTTTGGGGGACATGAAACACTGATCAACTACGTCATAGTTAAAGGAAAAGTCGTCTATCAAAATGAGACCTGTGAGACATTGAGCAGTTACTGAGAGAGGACAGTTACTAAGCTACTAAAATCAAATCAGCATGGAGTATTTCAAAGCAAGAGACAAAATCAGATTTGTAACTACCAGTAGATTGTTTGCCAGCTCACGTTACTCTTATTCAAATAAACTTTACCAGGCATTACCCCATTGGTACTTCTTCATGTCCATTGTCCTTCTCTCTACAGCAATAAAATAATTTCTAATTGCATCCATCTGAAATAAGACCGTTTCCAAAAATGGTTTCCTATACAATTAATCCATAAAATTATTGTATTTAAAAATAACCCAAACAAACCAGCAATCAATAAATGAAGTTTGGATCCAGGTAAAAGTTATTGGGCAGTGTTATGTTAAGTAACCTGTGACAGAGGGGCCAGGGGCTCAGGCATGCACATTTGGAGTGGCCTGTGGCTATGCTGGAATGTCACAGCTTGCCAAGGCAATGTTCATAGCTCCTGGGTCTGCTCAGTCTTGAACTCAGCAGATATCAGGAACCACAGTTATGGTGGGAAACACAGTACCTCTTACCTCTCCAAAATACCAAGTCTCGATTCTGCAGCCGTGAATCAGCTGCTCTGCAATACGTTCCTTTGCTGAGAATCTTACAGCTCCTTTGAGGTCTTAGGGGCACAAGAAAGAGGAGAGGAAAAGGCAATCAGGTACACCACTCTCTGGGCTGCTGAAAGCTGGGGTGCATTGTAAGTTAGAGGTTGAGCCAGGCCTGCTGTTAGAAATTAGTGATGCCAAAAACCTTAAAGTTTACTCTTAGAGGCAGTTAGCCCAGTGAGGTCTGATGAGTACAGCCAACCTCTCAAATTTTCAATTACCTTGAAACTTAAAAGAAGATCACATGCAGTGTCATTCAGATGTTCATTTATTCTAGGCTGAACCTGAAATAACACGAAACATATTTGCTCGTGGAAGTTTGAATGTGATGCTGATAAGTTAAGTATGACAATTCCTATTCAGAGCCACGTCAAAATTTAAGAGCCTGGTCTTTTCAAAGCTCTCTTTCTTTTTTCTTTCAGTTACTACTTTTTTTTTTCCAGAGTTTGTACCATCATTTGGGGATGCAGTATGTAGAAAAAAAGGATGATACAACTCTGGAGAGTTTAAGCTTTTGCAGTATTTAAACAGAGGGTCTGGCATAGGGAGGGTCTATGAATACACATGGACTGAGTCTTTTCTTCAAATTTTCAAATGGATGGTGGCTGCAGAAACAAAAGGGATTTGCTTTCTGAAGTAATAAAACTACACCTGACCAGCATGAAGAACTTCACATAAAAAATAATTATTGATATAAGCAGGTGACATAACCTGTGATACAGAGCAGAGTGTTTAGTGAACCAGACCCTAAGGAAAGGACAACAGTGTCAGTCTGATTAACAGATATCTGAAAGTCATCACAAACATATATGAGCTTTAATATGATCTTCTGATCTCCCTAAGCCTTGGGCACATCTGTTAACACCCGAAATATATAAGCCATCCCATATAATATTTTTGTTCATGCTTTATTTGAGCCAGGCTAGCCAACTAAATCAGTTTTTAGAACAATGTAATGGAATTCCTGCCACCTGACGTGTTTTCCTGCAAGCAGATGTTGCACCAGATGTGGGTGTGGACCTTTGTTTTTATAAAACTTGAAAGAACATCTCAAGTATGAAGTCACACAGTCCATTCTGCCCAAGACAGCCTTCATAAATAACATTTATCCAGGGATTTGGTAAGTCTGTCAGGGAAGGAGCACAGGCATTTCTGAAATGCAGTGTGGTGCTGGAGCGGTGCCTCTCAGCTCTGCACAGGCGTGGTGCAAAGCTAAGGCCACCATGCTGCAGTGTGTGCTGGTGCTTCCTCGGTCCCAGGCAGTCAAAAGCAGAGGTGAGTGGGAAGCAAGGTCCAGAACCTCCTCTCTGAAGTGCCTAAGGCATTTGGAGCCCAAGACTGCATAAGGAAAACCTCAAATATTCTCTTTCTGGACAGGAATAGGCATTCACGGCCTGAAACTACTGAAGTGAGGGCATTCTGCTCTCATGCACAAGCTCTGATGGGAACCTCAAACTATGTGCTTGCCCGAGCAGCTCAGCTGAATCCAGTAGCCACTTGGGAGAGTGCCCCAGGGCTGCAATTAGTGGCAGTTTGCAGTTAGAGTGTGGGGTTATCCCTCAGTGGCACAGCTGGCCTGAGTGTTCCTGACAGCCAGCTATGTGGTTCGGCAGTTTACAGCACTAGTACCACCGTGGCTGTGCAGCTGCACATCCCTCTGGAGTGCAGGAAGTTTTTTGCTTTTAGCATCCACAGTGGCTGGGAGTGAGACATAGGTAACATGGACGTAGGAACTTCTGCCAGCCTTGCTGCTGAAGGAACTGTCAGCCTTAACACAAAGCTGAGGGCAAGTGGTTGATCCTACAAGATATAATAAGCTTGGCTGTTCATTTTCACTCATTTTTAATTAATACCTTATTCTATACAAAATGGAACAGCTTCAGGAGGAGATTGAGATATGCCTGCTACAGAGAGCCTCAAGCTGAAAGGGTAGGGACTTTCTTGGCACATGAGGGAGAGACAGGATGGAGATGCTGCACCTCAGGTGCAGATGGAAGGACCTGAACTGGGAACTCATGTGCCATGGGTGCCCCAGTTCTCAGGTCTTCTGGCCAGGTTAGGTGTCTCCCTGGTAGGTTGCCAACAGGCATGAGCCCCCTCCTCAGGGCACATTTAACATGGTAGGTCTGAAACGCTCAAGGGTAGCCCCACACTAGTGGTTTGGCCACCCCTTGCAGCATAGCCAATAGCCTGGGAAGATTTCCAGCTCATTCTGAATGCCCCACAGCAAGCTCAGTAGTGCCATGTCATCATTGCACCACGATGTGAAATCTATGTCCTGACTCTTCCCTTGTAGAATAAAGCCTGTGCCAGAGGTCAGTGTTGTAACACAGAGAACATGTCATGAGCCCTTGGCAGCCAGGCAGATACCTGGTGAGCCATGGCAGTGTAGTTCTTAGTGCTATTGCCTCAGCACTTGTTCACATCCACCATTCCTACACCTCCTCCTCCCCCTTTTCTGGCCCCTGTTTCACCTGTCCTCTTTATTTCCAAATTAAGCTTTTGCTTTACATTTTCATCATCACACATGACAGGAAAATAGATTGTTATAGTCTTATGTGAAGCCTCAGTTTATTGATTGCAGATGTGAGCACATAGCTCTTGGAAAGCTGCATTAGCGTGGCTCACTTCAGTGACGACATCCACAGTGGCTGGGAGTGAGACATAGGTAACAGGGACATAGGAACTTCTGAAAGAACTTCTCCAGAATATTTGTTCTGGAGAAATAATCTCCATAGCACATTCTTATCCACTCAGCTTTTCTGACTTGTGAAGCACCTGCTCAAAAAATGCTCCTGTTATACAAGAACCTGTACTTCACATATGATCTGCAAAAGAAAGAAGAATTAAATGTAAAGATAATTTTTCTTGTGGCAAAATGAAGGGGACCACAGCAGTTACACAAAGCGGAAAAAAAAAGTGAGAACAGGCTGATATCATTGGCACAAATGAAGAGAAAACAGGCAAAGAGCTGACAAAACAAATACAGGAGGCCCTGCATAAAACATCCACTGGTTTCAGCAGGAGTCTGAATGATTTGTGTTCAGAAGTTCAGGAGATTCAGTCAAAACCACACTATCAGGACAAAGTTGTCTTTCACATGTCAGGAAAGCAGTGAGCCATTTCTTTAATATCTGTTTGTACTCCTGAGCTAGACAGTCAAGTCCCCTGAGTCACCTGGAGAAACCACATTGAGTTTGAGTAGAACAGCCACCCTCAGACAAGGTCTGGAAAGGATCTGCTCTCTACCAGAGGATTACAGCTCTTGAAGTTCATCCTGATGCTCATGGTCATGACTAACATCAGCATTCATTCTCAGCGATCCCAGGGAGAAAGCTGTAGGTGAAATGGGTCTTGATTCAGGGATATGTTCCCTCCTGTACTTTTCAATGTAAGGTTTAGCCACTTCCCACACCTGTGAAACAAGAAAATGAAACAGCAGAGTCAGAGGCAAAACAAAAGGTCAGCTAAGACATCAACTCGCAAGTTCAGGAAACCCTGTAGAAAAATTATTGAGGTTGAGGTAGATATGGGTAGGAGGCAGACCTGTGCAGATATACGGTATGTGATCAGCAGAATCAGAGAGGCAGAGAGAGCAAGGTTTAGGGAAGAGCATGTGGATGGAGTTGACAGGGGATGGGAAAGGATACAGCTCCAAGGGGACAAGGTGAAAGGATTCAAGGCAAAACCACTTTGCCTTGTCTTGTTAGCTGGTTAATGCTCTGTGTGCAATGGTTGGGAGAGAATTACTGTAACTTACAACAAAACCACTTGATCATGAAGGGGTTGGGGAAGTAAAACAGAAGCTGGCATGGACAAAGAAAAAGGGGAAGGATAGTTGTTGGGGTTCAAGGCAAAAAAGGAAAATGCTCTACAGTTCCCTTTGTCTCTCCTCCTGTCATGCAAGAAAAAAAGGGGGAAAATTTTCTTCTCCCATTTGCTTACTCTGCTGAATTCTTTTGTTAATTTTATTTTACAAACCAATAAAATAGATAGATACTAAAGGTGTACACTTAGCCTAGGTTAACACATATCACCACTGCTATTCCTTCTGCCATGTCCCCTTATTGCTTTGAGACCATGCACAAAGGCCTTCAGGTTAGGGAACAATCACTGCCCCAGGAATAAGGATCACTATCTGGAGAGACTGTTGATACCTCCGGACATCTGTGGGGTGATAGGACCCTGCCCTCAAACAATTCAAAGTTGGACCTGTGTCTGGACCTTGACAGATTTAGAAGTGTAAACTAGTTATAACACAGGGCAGGTTTAGGAACTGATTTCTAAACCTATCCTCCAAAACTAAGAAAAAACAAATCTCAAAACATCTGGTGGGATTGCCCCAGGCGGAGGAGTGCTTTTAGTGAGGCCATGTATGGAGGGGTGTTTCCAGAGTAGAGCTGCAGCCTGCTCTTTGGGACAAACTACTGCGCACGCCAAAAGCCAGCACTCACCTTCTGCTCCACAAGCAGCCTGTGAGCTGCTTCGATGTCTGGGGCCATGAAGCGATCCTTCATCCAAGGCCTGTAACGAGACACATTGCGAACATCGGCCAAACATTAACCACCACCAGCAGCAGCTGCTCCCCAGGCAACCTCTGGGGGAGGCATTTATCTGATCTTACCTCACCACGGAGCGCACAAGGTCATAGACCTTCTCCAATGGGGTTGTTGTCCTCAGAGGGCGCAGGAATTCAATGCCCTGGCAGGCGGCAAGAAGCTCAATAGCCAGAACTAGGGAATCAGAACAGTGAAAGGGATGTCTGACAGGCACAGCTCAAGGGGAGGTTTCCTGTATAAAGCTACCGCTGGCCTCTGTTCTGGCTGATATGATATGGTTTCAGGCAATGTGAAAAAACAGTGGATCCACACACCCCAGAGAGCCACTCCAGTGACTGGAGTGTTTCATGGATGGTGCTGGGAGCAGTATCCAGCACCTCAGCAAGCAGATTTTGGGTCTCTGCTGTGCAGACCTTTCAAGTGTACCAGGAACTTCTGGACACGAGAGTCTTAAAACTCCAAGAATCTCTTCCAGGGTGTCTTGAATACTCAAATGAATGTCCATCATAAATCAGAAAACCTTCTTAGCACTGAGAAGAGAGAGGCCTGAGCTTTAAAAGGAAGTTCTCTCTATAAAGCTTGCAAGAGCCCACGTGAAAACATCAGTAAAAATATAGCACTTTTGAAGAGAGTATTCTGTCTGGAGAAGCTGGCACTGTATCTGCATACTCACACCCCATCATTATCAGTAATAGCTCCTCATTTTCATGAGTCAATTCACCCAGGAACTGAGTGAACCAACTGGATCTAGGACACTCAGTTTCTTAGCATGCTGTTGAAACACACGGCTTCCTAAACTCATTGCTTTGCACCCAAAAAGTGTATTTCTGTAAAGTAAGTCTTCAGAGTTCTCAAATGTATAAACTGGGCAAGTGAGTTCAGCATTTGTGTACCGCGTATTACTCAGTTCTCCTACTAACAGCTGACATCTTATCTCTGCACATCATCTGGCAAATAAATAAATAAATCAAAAGCAAGAGAGCTTTTACCTCATTTCCATTCAAAAGATCTAAATGCTTGTACTTAATATGTACTTAACACAGTATTTTTAGACAGTTCTTTTAGATGCATTAACTCCCTTTTTCTTAAAATCTATCTAGAATGAATGGCACTAATATCTTCATCTGGTTACATCCCAGAGGTCTATCTGGAAATCAGCATTTTAATTTTACCTTGTTCCACGTGTTCAATAACTCTCAAAGCTTTTCTTGCAGCCCATCCTCCCATGGACACGTGATCCTCTGTAGCAGCACTAGTTGACAGGGAATCCACAGAAGAGGGGTGGCACAAGGCTTTGTTCTCAGAAACTGCAAAAAAAATCCAGCACAATGAGTGTAGGAGAGAATGGGCAGGAGACAGAAGAAGCAATGGCCAACCTGGAGCACAAAGCCTGTCTGCCACTTTGGGTCCAACTATTGCTCCTCTTTCAAGGATGCATCCATATTTTACCTGGACTGAATTATTCGTAATAACCACCTTGATAACCTTTGCCTCTATATTGCAAACAATATCAATCTTCAGATGCAAATATTAGCCAAATATAGAAACACTGCTCACTCTTCCCTCCCCCATCTTCAGGCTTGAGTTGCTCTGGCTCAAAGGCCTGATGGCATCAAAGAAAAAGAGCAGACAGCATAACCAAAACACAAGCCTGGTCTTGCCTGTTTCTCCAAGGCCTGTAAAGATCACTGGTTCCCTCTTTTTTTTAGGGTTACAGATATCACCATTCCCCTGCTTTCAAGAAGACAGTTAGAGATCAGCCTCTGGCCTCCTCATTGGAGCTGAGGCACTCAAGGAACTTCCTCTAGAAAGATGCAGGAGTTTGATATGAATCCTCTCCCACCCTCATTTCACAAGACTGATCATGTCCCTGAGAGTGACAGCATTCCTGCTTTGAAAGCCAGGTGTGAGCCCTGGAGTAAGTCTCTCAAGTTGCACCCCAAAGCAAAGGGAATTTGGCTGCAGGAAGGGTTTTGGGCACTGTTCAATGACAATTTGAAGTTGAGAGTTGCTCTTTAGAAGAGAAAAAATGAAGTCTGCATTCACAGAGCTCTGGCTGCACTCAGGCCTTTTCCTTTTGAAGCCCAGCAGGATGCTGTGTAATGCCCTTGCCAAACGAGTGGCTTCAGAAAAGCAACAAGAGCAACAGAGAGGTGGTGACACAATTGCAAATAGGTTGGAGTGACACAGTCCAGGACCAGAGCCCAGCTGGCACATTCAAGCAGGTGATGGCAGGTCGTAGAGAGGCTGCATGTGGCCACTGCAAACAGCTCAGTCCAGCAGCATAGAGCTCTTGGAGAGGGGGCAGAGACACATCCAGTGGCATTGCAAAACATCCGCAAATGTTTTGCAGTTTTATCTATTAATCCTGGCAGTGAACAAGATTAGCTGGTACACAAACACCCTAGAAACTGGCAGAGTGATTTAAAAAATATTAGTAGTACCTTGTTAAAAAAAAAGAAAAGGAACTCAAACTTCAGTTTAGATAAAATCCTGTCTATTTTGACCTGGAAAAGAAGGTTTTGACCCCTGGACTCCTGGTGTCAGCAGAGACCAAAAACACCCCAGAAGCTGTCACTCCAGGTTGCAGAAGTGTGCTGTGAAGCCTGAAGCCAAGCAACAGCTGAGGCCTGGAGCCACCCTAAACTCTACCCAAACAAAAGGTAAGTTTCCAGCCCTCAAACAAGGGGACCAGATCCACTTCCCAAAATAGCCCCCAGGCTATTTAGTACATCAATTTAGTTAATTCACTTTTTTTTTCAGCAGGATATTTATCTACTCATTTATCTGACATCCTCTGTTCCTTTGTCTGTTTGCATCTTTTAAAATTTACTGTCTTCTCAGAGCATGTTTACCTTTATATTGGCTCATGTTTTCCTGAACTGTAATATCTCAGTAGCCAGCAGGCTTTTTGTTGCCTTAGTCATGAGTGCCAGAGAAAAAAATGAACTAGTGCTTAATTTCAGTGTGCTCCTCTGATAACTAGCCCTGGGAACTCCAGTCTTCTGAGGACTATGGGGTCTGATACTGATGTACTGACCCGGCCATCAAATGGAGACACTGAGGGCCTTCCACTTTTGGGGCTGCTCAGAGCACTTAACCTGCCCAAGAGTCAGTGCAGAACAAGGAAGAAACCTGAGCTGAAATAATTGCAGCTGCACTCAATGCTCAGACTTTGCACCCAAACAGCACAAAATATGTGGAGAAGAGACTGAAAACAGGAGCGAGATACCTTTGTATCTACTATTAGATTACATCTGCCCTGATAGAAATTTGTCTGTCTTGCTCTCTCAATGATACTGCTCAAGCACTCACCCAGGGCAGCTGCTGTGCAGTGTGCAATCATGAAGCCTGAGTTCAGACCTCCTTCAGTGACTAAAAATGCAGGCAGTTCACTGAGTGAGGGGTTGCAGAGCCTCTCAATTCTTCTTTCACTAATTGCAGCGAGTTCATGCACACCAATTGCCAAATAGTCCAGAGCCTACAAAAGAAAAAAACCTCATTAGACCGGATGACAGAAACAAACAAACAAACCAAAACAGAAACAAAATATTTTTTTTCCTTTCTCCAAATGCTTAATTACCTTTGCAGGATATTCACCATGAAAATTTCCTCCAGAAATGGTCTCTGCTCTTTCAGCAAACACCATCTTTAAGGAGAAGTTAAGGTACACACGAGTGAAATACAGTTTACGTGAAAGATATCTGCCAGTCATTGGAATATCTTAACTGAAGAAATATTTGTGCCAATAGGCTTTTATCTGCAAGCACACTATATTACTTCCACAATTTCACTTTTCAGGAAATGAAGACCCAATCTCAGTTCTCCAAACTTCTAGTTTCAATTTTGACATGGTTTTTTTTTCAAATAAGCTACATAAAATGAGGTCTTTGATTGAGGGTGGGGAGGGGTGCAAAGAAACACATCTGTTTGGATGCTAGAGTAGTTTTTCAGCTCCTTGACAGATTCTTCATAGATGATATTATGCACAGCATCATTATACTGCTGACAGAAATCCAGCCTTGCTTAGTGCCAGTGCAAAAACTGTGCAGAGTTTACCAGGCTGAGCCACCATGGGGCTTACCAATCACACATCTGTCTATCTTCCCTGACCAAGTGGAAATCTTGCTCTGTAGTTCAGGTTTCACTCATGCTGCACCAACAGATGCTTCATACACCAAGTCACCATTCATTTGGTCGCCAAGTCCCATCTATCTGACATATTCAATCAAAGTATATGGACTCCCATCTAGGAAACATTTAACATGCACCAAAGCATATGCACACATGGTTTCCTTGCCCCAACACATACTAGCATACCTCCAATACAGTCATGGGGAAAGGGAGACAGGCTGCTCTTGCAGCCAATGGCAGTTATTGACCAAAGCCAGTTATGACTTTTTTGCCTCCTGTGCAAGTATTTATGCAGAAGAAAAGGATAAAAAAGGCCAAGAAGAATTTTACATAGTAATAAAGTTATCAAAAAGATACAGGGTTGTCCGTGGCGCTATTGATTTCAGTTGTCATTATGTCCTTCACAAAAGCAATTGTATCATTTACAACTCCATGGACCTAGAACAAAAGACATTACACCTGAGCTTAGTATCTGCAATTAGTTTACCTTCAGGATGCTAACCGAGCTGCAGGGACCCTCTTTCCCATCATCCCACTCTACATCCACACATGAAGATAGTCTTGGATTTGCATCACTGTGGGACACTGCCCATCCTGGACACTTGAAAGACTATATTTACTATTATTATGGCAGTTTTGCCAAAAGAGTAATCTGAATATGACATTCTTTACTTGTTTGGGTTGGTTTGCCCTAAATGGAAGATAACATATTTATTCAGAGGCAGAAGTGTTATTGGGGAGAAGTAGCCTTACAAGAACCCCACAGAAAACAAAATCTCTCATTAATTAACTACATTCCATTAATTCCACTGATTTAATAGCTTTGTTCCTGTTAAAACTCACAGGACTGAGTTCTTCCAACATGTTTGAGATACTACACTCTGTCTGCTTTTGGAAACACTCAGTTCATGGTCTTAACACCAATGCAGAAGAAACTTCCTACAAAACCTGCAAGCATGGAAACCAGCACCTTCCCTCTGCTTCCAACACCTGGCCTCCTCCACATCTGAACACAGCTTAGTTAGACGTTGCCTGATGCGTGTGTGCATGGGATCAACAAATTATATGTCTCCATTAACACTAACTTTGAAGTGAAGAAGAAACAAAATAAAACCACTTCCTCTAGCAGAGTCAGACAGTACATAACTGACAGTATTTCTGAGGGAAACTTCACTGCCTATTGTTGGGAAAGGAGATAAAAGCCAGTTTTTACCTGAGGGCAGCAGCGCATTGTGTATGCATCCTGAACTCGGTCACAGAATCGATGGCTCTCTAGAAGGAACAAGGGAAGCAAATGACAAATATTTCTTACACAAAAGCATTCTGTCCTTTTGAAGGACCCAGCCTGTTCCGGTAATCTGAGATGGTGAAGGTTAAGGTTGTTCACCTGCTATTTCTGATGGATGATGGTCAGAATCTAGAAGTGACCTGAATCGAAATGCCACCTCAGCCTGCCCTCGATGTGGCCGTACTGCATGGATGTCTAGAAATACAAGTTAGACTGTTAGGTTTTGCCTCTCTTGCCAAGAGCTGTTAAGCAAACAGACAGGGACGCACCAGTACCCACCAGTGTCAAAGGCCCTTGTTGTGCCCTTCAAGACTTCGAGTGTGAGGGCAGCGACTATGTCAGCCTGCCTCGCTATGGCCGCGGCTCTTTCAACCGCCTCACATCCCAGTGAGGTGATCATTTGTGTCCCATTGATGAGGGCCAGGCCCTTCAAAAAGATAGCAGATGTTAAGAAAATTCACTGCAGTTATTTCACACGCTGTGACAATTCCCCATCTCTGTGATAATTCTCTTTCTCATTTGAATGAAAGACCTTTGCTCAGCTTTCTAGACCATCCTGAAATCATAAATGCACAGCTTGATGGTGCATCTTTGCTACATAAACTGTCATTGCTCATGATGCTACTAAGTCACAGTAAGCACCTTTGGAACTCCAGCAGTTCCAAACAAGTCAGATACGTAGTTCAAGTCAGTCATCTGGGCTCTGCTATGGCCAAAGGGCAGATAGGTACCTTGAAGGGGCTTTTTAGTCAGCTGTTTCAGGGTGATATATAGTGCTTTCTGAAGAGGCCTGTCTCTCTCCACTGACTGCAGAGCCAATCTAAATACCAAGCTTGGGTCTGACATTTCAAGTCAAGTAGGGTGACACTAGGAGAGGTGAATCCCACTCCCAATAACACTTCATTAATATCCTTCTGAAGTTTGAATTAAATACATTATTAATTCATTTAATGCTGTTATTGTATGCATAAAGCAACTAATGATTGACTATGCTCGTTTTCCATCAGCTGGCATCATTATACTTTATTACCTCTTTTGGTTTCAAGGTAATTGGTTTCAGTCCATGGGCTTCCAGGACCTGTGAAGGAGTTTAATGACAAGGTAATTAATGAGAAATACTTTTCAGTAATTTGAAAAATACTTTTCAGTAATTTGATTGCTAAAAGTTTTAAATCTTAAATGTTTCCATGAACAGAAATATTAACAAATTCCTTAAGTGATGGGGGAAAAAGAGCTTTACATCATGAACATTTAATATATTTTTTTCTGCTGGGTTAAATAAAGGATAGCATTTTTGGGCCTCCAAACTAGCACCTCATTTCCTAATGCTAGTAAAAAAAGGTAGTAGGAGCACTGAAGTGAGATACTGTCACAGCCCATTAACATCTTCTGTATTTTAGATGACGGAAGAGGGTAATAGGAAAGAAGGCTGGAAACGTCTTGGGAAGGCAGTTTTGCCTGCACTTTGCCTCATAGCAGTTTTGGCTTGGCATAAATTATTCCTTTACAAATGATTCCCTAATCCTTTCTGCAGAAAATCTCTAGTGACAGGAGTCATCCTACTCAGTTTATTCTATACATGACTATTCTATAGGGCAATTGCTCTTGTGGGAAATTCAGAAACAGCATAATCTTGTTTCTGAATAGAATCTCTCAACCTTTCCAACCGAAGAGGTAATGAATCTCAGGGGTGTACGACTGTAACTTCTGGTCCTGAAGGTTCAGGACACACTGGTCTGCTTCATACCTACTCCTCTGCCTCAGTAGTCCTCAATACTTCTCCAGTCTGTAGTGATGTACAGCTATCAATCCATGAATAAGTCTGGTAATCAAATATTCATAGATAGGAGTGATAGGTGTAGTGGCACAAACTACCATGAAAGACTTTGGAGGGGCCCATCTTTGAGATACTCAACACAAGATTAATCTCTTGATGTTATTAGTGAGAGAAAAACAATTGATTAAAAACTAATTCCATTATAACACTTTCATCTTGTGGAGGAGGATAATATAAAGGTTCCTTGTAACCCTAGTTAATTTATCAAAAATGATAAAATAAGTGATAAAATGATAAATACACAAAAACCTGTGTATTTACTTAAAGCAATTATAAAATCAGTAGAAATTTTACTGCTAAATTCCTGCCTCCAATAAGTCTCCAGGTACTCTTAGCATCTGATGTTTTGAATTTGAGAAGTGGCCTTGGATTTGTTAGAAAAGCACTAATGTTCATGGAGCTGAAGATGCAGTAATAGTTCTTTCATAATTGGTATAATTTCCTGTCCCTCTCTCTAGTTCATAAATGTCATCACTGTGGTATTTTGTATTGCAATACTATGGCATTATATTTCTTGGGACTTATTAACATGCTGCTTATTATATCTGCTCCAGTGACATGTGAGTCAGTTATTGCATTCTCATGGATCCACCTTCCTCAAGGCAGAGGATGAGTTGCTAAAGGCAGCCTAGTCCCAATTCAAACTGGTACAGAAACTCTGAAGACTTTTACATGTTATTAATCTGAGCAAAAGCTCTCTTTCTCTCAAAGCTACATGCAATTCAGAAAGTGAGTCACCAAGCAGAAAAAAACCAAACAATCAGGTGCACGAATCTTACATATTTAGCATCAGCCCAGCCACTCTTTGGGGACCACATCTTTCCCTCTCCAATTAATCCCAGAGCAAGATGAGAGAGGGGGGCCAAGTCTCCACTGGCTCCAACTGTCCCTTTCTCTGGGATATAAGGAAGGCACGATGCTAGAAAGAAAAAAACCCAAACAACTATTAGAGCTTCACCTTGATACACGCTTCGGAAAACAGAGAAGTCAGCTCATAAGTGTGGTCACAATAACATCCTGCAATCATGGACAATGGCACCAACAGGACTACTCTTGTTGCAGTCTGGGGGACCACAGCCCAGGGTGATTGCATCTACAGCCACGTAGCCAGGCAGCTACAACATCACTCCTCTCAGGTCTCCATCACAGGGTGACCACCTGGTGCAGACAAACCTCTCTCTTAATTTCTGACTCCACTAAACACTGGGTTACTCTTAGAAACCATCTTTGAGCTCTCTTCCCCCCACCCTAATCCTCAGGGAACTGAAATGTGTGAAAATGAAAAAACAGAGCCTGGGAAACTGCAGAAAAAGCTGGGAAGGGACCAGTCTGTTCCTCTTCTTTCACAGAGCTAAACACAGAATTGCAGCTCCTTCACCTGCTGCAGGAGGAGGAGGAGGAGGAGGAGGAGGGTAAAACAGAAGGCAGCACAAAGACTGTATTCTTAGGGGCTCACATAAATGAACATGGCTCTCCTCTCATATATATCTGGTCTATAGTCTCAGAACAATCTTCCAATCTACAGTTTAGGAAAAGGAGAGAAGGAGAGTTGAACCTAACACTGACTATAGGGAAGGTGCTCTTTGCTCATCACTGCCATACTGTCATGCCTCACCAGAGGGACCATCAATGGTCATCAGATAATGGAGAACACAGCCACCCCTCTAGTTTCCCTGCCACAGCACCGGGCAAGGGAGGGAAGGCCACCCAGCTGGAACTGCTGTGACAGTTGTGGCTATGTGAGCTGCTGACTAGCCATGTGCTTCTGTGTGGCTGCCTTGTAGCCCTTGCTTACAAACACCTCTGTAGGTCTCAGGGGGTCTACTCACAAAAACAGGTGCTGCTTAAGCTGCTCTGCTTGACAAACACTAACACATGCAGTTTTCTATATGGTAATAGCCCACTTTTCCCCAAAACCCAGTATCCCTAAAGATGGTGTCACACACATTAGCACCTGACAGGACAGAAGTTAAAGATTTGAGGCTTTGCAAAAGTGCTTGCCCAGAGTTATGTTCTAAGTCAAGCTTAATCTTGAATTAATTATTATCTGACCTCTCAGAGGCTCATTTTCCAAACTTCTATCTGTTGCATGCCTTTCTTTCAGCCTTTCCTGTCAATTCATCTCATGCTTCACGTCCTTCAACAGAGGAATGGTCTCCAGTTGTGAGCTTGTACAGCCAAGCTCTGGTCCTGATCTCTCAGAACCACCAAGTACAAAGACCAACATCTGTAACTTGATCCATTGAGTTACACCATTTAATAAAATAGTTAAAAGAAAAAAAATGGGAAATCAGGATTTTCTTTAAACATCTTTTTACCATTAAATGCTTCAATAACTTGCTCGAGGGTTGCTAGGGATATTCCACTGTATCCTTTGGCCAGGACATTGATTCTCAATGCCAACAGCATGCGAGATCTCTCAGGGGTCAAAGGTTTCCCCACACCTGAAACAGAAACCCTCTCAGTTACTAACCCACTACCAACAGAGGCAGAAAAGGGAAACATCAAGCCAGTCTCTCATTACCTGCAGAATGAGAACGAACCAAGTTCACTTGAAGCTCCCTACAGAAAAAAAAAAACCATGTTAAATTCCCCAAAAGTCTCATCTGGTTTTATTTTGCACAAAACTGAAGGAAATACTGAAGCAGCTCTCTCATTAAACCCCACAGTATAAAAGTATAGGGTTGAACTGCTCCCTCTTCTTCCTTTCCTGAGAAGAAAGGACAGAGAAAGCTGCACAGACAACTTACCTCAGCTTACTGTTTGGGATGACAGTCCTGGCAAACTTCCCAAACCCTGTGGTGATTCCATAAACAACTGCAAGAAATGTACTGCTGGTTAAGAAGGGAACCTGATGAAGTTTTCTAAACAATTAATAGTTAGAGGTAAAAATATTTACCTGTCTGTTCATTTACGATCCTTTCAATCACTTCTCGTGATTGTTTGACTTTAGCTTCAGCTTCAGGTGTAAGCTAAAACATAAGTAGTTTAAATACCAGTTTATTTATCATTATTTAGTTGTAGAAAAATAAACATGTAATTTTTAGCTGTGTTTGTTCAGAATCTTTACCTTTATCTTGTAGAGCCCCTTTCCTAAATTGACCAAGTCCTCCGTTGTTAAGCTGTTGCCATCTAAAGAAATATACTACACCAAAAAATCACTTTTTATTTTGGGATATAGATACATATAACATTGCTTAATAATCAGAATAAATAAAAAATACAGCCAAAACTCAGCAATGACAGGAAGCTTCTGCATGCTCATTCATAAGACAGGAACTCAGTAATAAAAACATAATAAACATATCACAATTTAGTTTCCTAGACCCAGTCAATCTAACAGCCCCTGCTCTTCTGAATGCTGCAATGGCTTAACTCTCAGCGTATTCTGGTAATACTGAGTTATAAAATCATTGGTGATTCCTACCTGTTCTGGTTCTCGGTATTTGCTGTATCTGAAAGTTCTGTAAAGGAAAAAGGGCAGACAAAATTTCATGGGTAGTAACCACTTGATTACAGGTGGAAATATGTTTTAAGAACAAAAGAACTCTAAAAAAATGAGGAATCTAGAGAATTATAAATCTGGAATTGTAAAAAGTTCACAAAGCACTCAAAAAAGGATACAAATGAACTCCTTCTGGCTGAGATGGTATGAAATCTGGAGACATTATATCTCCTTCTATAACTAGAAGAAATATGCAGAATAAACACAAAGAGGATTAAATTGCATTCTTTATATAAGTTGTTATTCATTACAATATACAGTAGTAAGAATTCTAATTTGCAGTTATCAGCCCCAAACATATTTGTATGCTTCTGGGAAAATAACAAGTATGTATTATTTAAGGTATTCCAAAGGCAAAAGCAGAACAGCTTATACTATATATAACAGCATATACAGATGATGTATATAGAATCCTGTACCTTCTAAACCTTATATAGGTCTGTTTCCAAAAGCTAAATATTCTTAAATGATTGGGCATTTTTCCATAAAAACTGTAGACTATCTCAGGCACAATTTTAGATGAATCTAGATAAAGCCACCGTTGGCTGACTCAGATGCCAACACAGTCACCCTGCAATACATTGTTTAAGGTTTTGCTTACCAACTTCAACAAATTCATTGTCCTCTAGAGCATCTCCCACTGTATCATCAAGATCCAACAAGCCAAGTCCCTTGCACCTTCGAATGTAAAACTTCACTTCTTCCACTGAGGCAAATCCCCCATTGTCAGGTTTGTTTTTCATGTATCGCCTCACAGCTTCCTTTCCCAGCCACCGAATGGTGTTCGTGGAGCTTAGGCACGGCACTGCCAGCCATTCTCCTCGGACATGCACTGTGTATCTCGGCATGCTTTCTCTCCAAAAATTACTCCTTGACCAAGAAGGGCTGCAGTGTGGAGCAGCCTCACATTGACCACGCGATGGCCTGAAGTGCCTGTCTGGAGTCCAGTGTTGCAATCCGAAAGAGGCAAAAATCCACCCTCAAAATCCCCACCTTTGTAAATAAGCGAGATCGATGTATTTGGCTGACTTCATCCAATCAAACCAAACCCAGGGAACACACCTTCTCACGGCGGGACACAACCCCCATTTTTTTTCCAAAGATCACATCAGGAATATAGAAATGAAAATCCAGGAGCTGGAGCTATGTACTAAGATTAGATAAATTTGACTAAGATGCAGTGAAACTGTTCTAAAAACGTAAGGGTTTAACAAGAGTTAAAGTTAACACCTGGCAGTAAATCACAGTAACAAGAACCTCCATGAGGGACAGGGCTGCAAGAGAGTCACCTAAGATTATGGGTTGCTCATGATTGCTAGGATTGAAAGAAGATTGGATTATACTTTTACATCTCTATCCAGAGCAGGATAAAAGCAGGCAGTAGAGGAAGCAAACCTGCTTTGCTTGGTTCCATGATCAAGTTTGAAAACAAATTTTTTAATGTAGGTGAGGAAAAGATCAATTAATTTCCATTGCCCTTTCCCTTATGCTCTGAAAGAAGTTACTAGAACAGGTAGCAACAAATACTAGGCCATAGCTGCACACTATCAAGCCCAGTGCTGCTATGTCATGCTTCCTTTGCAGGCAGATGCAAAGAGGAAAAGATGTGGAGGTACCTGTTATGATGGTGCCAAAATAAAGTTTAGCAATAACCATGTCCACACAGAAGCTGAAAATACCTTTATCTTTAAAGCCAAAACAAGTAACACCACTCATAGTCCATGCTACTTATACTAGTGTTCTCAGACAAAGGGACTACTTGGGGCTTAATTATTGTAGGGAATGTTAGCTTGGGACCCATGGGTGGGAGTCTCTATGTGGGAGACACTGCCCCAGCAGCGCAGTGTAATGAGAATAGTGAAAGCCATGCCTGACACAATTTTCTTTTTTCTGGCTCTGACAACAAGAAACCAGGATTATCTGGCAGCATGAACTCCAGTTGCCAAAGCACTATATATGATACATAGGCTTTTATAACAAAATGTAAGTTACCCCAAAACCAGTGACATAAAGCTTTTATAAAACACAGGACAGTTTTCATTGCAATCTGATAACTCAAACCTGAGCCTGCTGACACCCAGAAACCCCCGCCTCTGACCAAAGCTTTGCCCAAAAGAATCTCCATTCATTCACTAAGGTGATGCTGTAGCAGAAGCCTAATCAGATTTTGGGAGCAAATGAAAGGAACTGCACGAATTTCTAAGCTGAAATATAGAAAAATTCGTTTCAGTGAGGTTCTCCAGCAGAAGTTACCACTTATTCAGGGGAGCAGCAAGAGAGTGAATGGCTCATTACATCCTTAACACAAGAAAGTCTTTAAGTTCTACACACATGAGGAAATTACATTATTTTTGTTCCCCAAGGCCAGTATTTTATTGTGTTTAATAAAAGTTGAGTGCCACAACATTCACAGAAAGATTTTAAGCTGATCTTTCAGCCTCAATAACATACGAGTTAAATTTTCTATAATTTTTATTTAAACTACTTAAACATATGTGGGATAAAGTTGAAGTGAAGCACTTAGAGTGCCTTGAATAAAAGTCAGCAAGGTATGTTCACGCCTTAATTTATCTTAGAGCTGCCTCCACAAAACAACTAATCTCTTGATGAAGTACACTTCATCTATTTGCGTGCTGGTTTTGGCTCTGGTAGAGTTAATTTTCTTTGGAGTAGCTGGTATGGAGCTATGTTTTGGATTTGTGCTGGAAACAGTGTTGATAACACAAGGATGATGTTGTTATTGTTGAGAAGTGCTCACACAGAGCCAAGGCCTTTTCTGCTTCTCACCCCACTCCACCAGTGAGGAGGCTGAAGGTGCACACGGAGCTGGGAGGGGACACAGATGGGACAGCTGACCCCACTGACCAAACGGACACTCCATACCCTATGGCATCGTGCTCAGCATATAAAGCTGAGGAGGGAAGAAGCAGAAAGAGGGGAAAAATGTTCAGAATGATGGTGTTTGTCTTCCCAAGTCACTGTAATGTGTGATGGAGCTCTGCTTTTCTGGAGATGGCTGAACACCTGCCTGCCCATGGGAAACAGTGAATGAATTCCTTGTTTGGCTTTGCCTGTGTGTGCAGCTTTTACTTTACCTATTAAACTGTATTTATCTCAACCCCTGAGTTTTCTCATTTTTACTTTTCCAATCCTCTCCCCCATCCCACTAGGGGGAGCGAGTGAGCAGCTGCCTGGTGATTAGTTGCTGGGTGGGGTTAAACTATGACAACTTGAAAGCTTGTAAGGATCAAAACTCAGAACATAAATTAATCAATTGTCAGGTTCTCCCCTTTTAAGTGCTATTATTTAATCCAAGCCTTTTGTCACGACCTATATTTGCTATTCTTCTCCCCTAAATCAGCACTTTTGGTTTTGTTTGTTGCTTCTTTGCACGGGGTTATCCCTATGTCAACAGATTTAATTTATACAAACATATCACCTCCAGGGAAAGCAGTCCTTACCAAACTCGCTGCAAAACCCAGCCTAGAGATGGCAGCATTCCCCACAGCATCACCTACGCCACCACCTTGAACTGCAGCGCTGTAACAAATCCAGGAAACACCCCTCTCCCATTGTTTTCACACTTACCTCTAAGTTGTTATAGTAGCACAAGGGGTAGAGCCCAGAACCGGTTAAAAATGCAAATATTAAAAATATCAAACTGGGTAAGGAAAGACTTGGACTTTAGCTCCCCTGCAATAATAAGTTTTGAAAATATATAGTGAGTGGGTTGAAAACCACCTTCATAGTCCTTTTGGACTCAAAAATTTCTCCCACAACAAAACAGTAAATAAAACAAAAGTATTAAATCAAAACTTTTTGCACAGATCAGTACACAGGCAAGTAGGGAAACAAAAGATTTATTTTGTAGTCTTTAGATACTTGAAGTTTCAATCACCGTGCTATGGAAAAGAATGCTGTGCACAAAGAGTCATACCATCCACCAATTAATTTTTCATGTTTTTCAATTCTATCACTGACAAATGACTGACATCTCAGAAGTTTCTGTGTGTTCTAAAAATTGCTTGTAACAAAAACATTCTTCCAGTTCCAGAGATGTAGCAATTTTGCTGCTTTACCTGGAAGTGCAAAATAGAAAGTACTGAATTTGATTTGGAAAATTAATTTTAAGCTACATCAGTACCAAAGCAGCAGAGCATTTAATGGCATAATCAAGCACGCATATCAACAGTTTGGGCAACAAGTCTCTTCTTTCAGGAACAAGAAAATTTCACTGGTCCTGCTTCAAGTCTTTGCCCACAAGCATTGAAGTGACTGGGTGCATAGAGGGTCTATGCTCCAGAAATGTCTTGACAGCCAGATCTCGACTCTTGTCAAAACTGTAAAGGTCCCTGTAAAAGAAGGAGGAGGGAGGGGAAGCACCATTACAAAAATCTAGAAAAACAGTACACCAGGGATTTCCTCAAGGTTTTACTTTTCCCTTGAAAGCCTCGCCTTAAGGTGCATACTGGGATTAAGCTTTCTTCTATGAAAAAAAGTCAGCAAGTGGAAAGCGACTCAGAAGATAAGCTTGGTCACAGTATTCCGAGAATTCTCTATTATATCACTTAAAGGTGTGCCATAAATGCATTTCTATTATACATTCCATTATACTAGAAATGCCAACAGCATGAGCTCCTACAATTTGGAGATTACTTTTACCTGAACAAGGGTCGAGTAAACTTCATCCTGCCCTGATCTGTTGCCATTTTTAGAGCCAGAGGAATAGCTTCTTCCCACTTGGACCTGATACAGAGACGCAGCCATCTGGAGATGGGGGGGCAAAGAAAAAATTTGCACTTTTATTTTCATTTGTGGTGGTTGGTTATATTACGACTCTGTTCCCATAAACATTCCGGGCACTGCTCTGTCATCACGGGAGTGAGATTCTAGCTAAATTCAACATAAAATATTTAGTGTTTGACTAGCATAGTACAAAGGTGAACTTTTCCATAAAACAGGAAAAAATTGCAACCAAGTTTCTCCAAAATGGTCTGATTATCTTCTGAAGCTATGTAATTTTTTATATTACAATAGTGTCTAGCTGTATCACTCAGAATTAGAGCTGAACTATACAGCCCTTGTCATATTTGACCAAGTGATTATAGAAAACCCCGAAAAACAAACCAGCAAAAAATCCAAACAAAATATCACAAGCTACTGGCATGTGCTTGTTTTGTTTAAAAAAAGAGAAGAAATTCATCTTGTTACAGGAAGTTGGAACTATATGTTTAAAATACTTAGTTTTTTAAATAAGAAACTAAGAACTCCCCCCAGTTAAGGCAGAACAGTGGTAACTATTTTAAATGTATCCAAGTAGGTAACAGTAGCAAAATATGCAATACTTCAAGATACCTTTTGAGATTACTTATATCCCGATGGGGTACCTTTTTCCAACAAGTGACATGTGCAAACACAATTTGTAAGTATAAAATAGAAGAAATTAGGGTGGCATGAGGATCAATTTAGCCAGAAGTACTTACTGCTTGTTTAGAAATTTCCCCTTTGACACTTACTTTTTTTAATGAGACAAATTTTTTATAATAGTAAGCAATAAAATATGACAAAAAAAATTTCAAGTTGTGTTGAAAAAAACATTGGTACATCAGCAGAAAAACTGACTAGGTTAAGTCCTGACGACCAGGTGCTGACTAAATATTGGAAAGATTGGTCACTATTGTTTTATTCAAGACCACCCCCAAAATAAGTTACCAGGTTGTCAGGTTCCTTTGCTAGCATGACAGATTAAAATAAGGTACAGCTAATCCACTGTCCACTTTGAGTTCTTCTACCAGACTGTATTTGCCCAATTCACAGTAACAGAACACGACTCTGGTAAGCATGTTTGCACATGTACTTTTAAAAAAAAGCCACAACAACAACAACAAAAAACCCAAATCCAAAGTCTGCACCAGTTCTGTACAAAGGACGTCTCAGACCATTTATGAAGCAGGACAATTCGTTTTATGAAAGCATTTA